ACAGACGTGGATATATTTATCCACAGACGTGGATATATTTATCCACAGACGTGGATATATTTATCCACAGACGTGGATATATTTATCCACAGACGTGGATATATTTATCCACAGACGTGGATATATTTATCCACAGACGTGGATATATTTATCCACAGACGTGGATATATTTATCCACAGACGTGGATATATTTATCCACAGACGTGGATATATTTATCCACAGACGTGGATATATTTATCCACAGACGTGGATATATTTATCCACAGACGTGGATATATTTATCCACAGACGTGGATATATTTATCCACAGACGTGGATATATTTATCCACAGACGTGGATATATTTATCCACAGACGTGGATATATTTATCCACAGACGTGGATATATTTATCCACAGACGTGGATATATTTATCCACAGACGTGGATATATTTATCCACAGACGTGGATATATTTATCCACAGACGTGGATATATTTATCCACAGACGTGGATATATTTATCCACAGACGTGGATATATTTATCCACAGACGTGGATATATTTATCCACAGACGTGGATATATTTATCCACAGACGTGGATATATTTATCCACAGACGTGGATATATTTATCCACAGACGTGGATATATTTATCCACAGACGTGGATATATTTATCCACAGACGTGGATATATTTATCCACAGACGTGGATATATTTATCCACAGACGTGGATATATTTATCCACAGACGTGGATATATTTATCCACAGACGTGGATATATTTATCCACAGACGTGGATATATTTATCCACAGACGTGGATATATTTATCCACAGACGTGGATATATTTATCAACAGAAATTATAATTTTTTTCTTTTTCCCATTTAGCAACATCCCATAAACTCTTTGGTAATAATAATTTATCCGAACACTGTAGCCTATACACCTGCGAATATGCATTTAATATGATGACATACAAAGCTTTTAGCGGTTATTATAGACCAAATACAAACTGTACACTTTTATCCAAACATATAGTATACAGTGCTGGTGGCAGCCTCGCTTAGCTTGGTCATGGTTTTTGAGATCTCAAAGCAAAAAAAAAAACAACAAAAAATAAAAACGCGATGTATTTCGACAAATTTTTGTCCTTAGTAAACTCGAAACTTTCCACGGATAAAAAAAAACAACTCCTGATGGACAAACATTTGTCTGGCAAATGTACTTTTTGTGCTAGTTTTCATAGCGATACTAAACCTAAAACGGCAAAGAAACAAATTGTGTAATTAAATATAAAAGATCTAAAGATAAAATATTAAAGAATCAACCCAGAAAAAAAGATATTGGCTATCATATCATAGATGGGCAAAATAATAAGAGAGAAATACTTAAGAGCATTTTATAACATCTTTCCTGCATCGAATTACTACAATTTCAAAGCAATAACATAATCACAATTAACTCAAAATTATTTTATAAAAAGAAATTTTGAAAATTATTTGTAGATGTTGATGAGATTGTTGATGTTAAAAACACGACAGAGAATAAGGGACATAAACACTAACTGGCGTGTATTCTTGTCCATCTATGGACTATAGGGCCAGCCAACGAATAACATGTTTTCCCCTATAAAGTGGTCATTTCTGAATAAAAGTAAAATTGATCGCAACCAAAGGAAAAAAGTATCAAAACAGATTTAATTAAAAAATAATAAAAATAAAATTGAAAACCATTTCAATTTCAAAGTAGTTTCAGTAATACAGCTCTAATAACATTTAATAACCACCAAAATGTTTTTCAAATCCAAAATAAGTTTTTAAACGTCAACAACAAGCCATGACAAAATAAACCTCGAAATCCGCATAAATCTTGCTATGATACAAAATAAAAAGTTTCTTTCGAATATTCCAATTCGTTCGACAAAGGCAAAAGTTATTATCTTCTCAAATTCTTGGTTTTCATGGATATTTGCCAAAAAAAAATTTCAATGGAAATTATCAATGCCACCACTAGCATCAGCATTGGCAAAATCAAAGCCAAATTGTTGATGAAGCTCATTTTTTTGGTAAACACAAAGAAAATTAAAGAAAAACTTTTTCTGTTCTAACATTGCCCGAGGCAATGATAGAAAATTGAATTGTCGAGGATGGTGGTATAATGTTAGCTTGTGATTCGAACGATAATCGCAAGAAATTGAATATTATTGTTGAAAATCCATTTTTCATTAATAATTCGATTCAAGAGAAAAAAGAACAAGAGCGACGATAAAGTTATTAAAAAAGTTAGGGGCCGACTACAAAATTGCCCAAAAGATTCCTGATGGTACACCCTATATGGGGGAGGTACCAGAAGAAATTATTCGATCTCTACCATCTTTATAACAGATCTTGTCTTAATACTGAAATGTACCAAGCTTGAATGAAATCGGATGTAAATTTCGCGTATTATTAACTTAATGGATATTTAAAATGTTTACCCTTTGTGCTGGAGGTACAAGAAGGTGTGAACCGACATATCCCACCTTCACAGCAGATCTCGTGTTAGTAGAAATAATGGGATGCTTATTTCGGATTTTAAAATCATTTTGTTTTTTTTTTTTTTTTTCAAAACTTTGACCCTTTGTGGGAGAAGTACCACAAGAAATGATCCGATCTATACCATCCTTATAACAGTTCTTAGTGTGATAGATATAATGAGATGTACCAAGTCTGAATGGAATCAGATATTAATTTCATGTTTTATGAGCTTCTCCTTGGTGGAGGAGGTACCACAAGGAGTGGATCGAAATATTCCATCTTCACACCAGACCTTGGGATAATAAAAATATGTTGATGTGTGTAATCGGACTCTTACATTACATTTTATAAGAGTTATAATTATTCAAAATTTTGACCCTTTGTGGGTGAGGTACCAGAAGGAGTGGACCGATATATCCCATCTTCACAACAGATGTGTGATATATGAAGAGAATCGGATGCTTATTTCGGATTTTATAAACGTTGTGCTTATTCAAAATTTTAACCAATTGTGGGGGAAGTACCAGAAGGCAAGATCCGATCTCTACCGTTTTAATAACAGATCCTGTATTGATAGAAATATTCAGATGTACCAAGTCTAAATGGAATCGACTTTTAATTTCGCGTTTTAAGAGCTTAATGGATATTCAAAATTTCGACATTTTGTGGGGGAGATACCAGACGAAGTGGACCAATGTATTACATCTTAACAGCCGATCTAGGGGTTATAAAAATATTTGCGTGTGTGAAGTTTTTAAAACAATCGGATTCTTACATCACATTTTATAAGAGTTATAAATATTCAAAATGTTGACCCTTTGTGGGGGAGGTACTTGATGGAGTCGACCGATGTTGTCTCACCTGACCTAGCACTGATGCAAATATTAGGATTGCACAATTGGAGAAAAATCGGATTATCCTTTCTCTTTCTGTGTCGTAAATTATTTATTTATTTATTTAATTTTTTTTTTTTTTTTGAAAATTTCGACCTTTTTTTGGGGAAGTACCAGAAGAAGTGGACCTGCATACGAAATTTTTTGTCATAGGCTGTAGTAACCATTGCGAACTTTAAATATGAAATTTGTTACAACTACGGTGAATAATGTCGCAAAAATCCTGAAAATACCGAGTATCGGGATGTACCGTCATATGGGGGCTATTCGAAGACCTGGACCTGCACACGAAATTTTTTTTCATAGGCTGTAGTAACTATTACGAACTTTAAATATGAAATTTCTTACAATTACGGTGAATAATGTCGCAAAACTTCTGAAAAAATAGTATCGGGAGGCACCGTCATATGGAAGCTATACGAAGACTCGGACCTGCACACGAAATTTTTTGCCATAGGTTGTAGTACCCCTTAAGGTCTTACAATATGAAATTTGAAATAATTCCGGTAAATAATGTCGCTAAAATCATGAAAATACCAAATATCGGCTGGTACCGTTACATGGGGGCTATACGAAAACGTGGACCGACATAGGCCATTTACAAAATTAACCTGCTTATTGGCAAACTATGCATGTATGCAAAATTTCAGCATTCTCAATTCGCTCGAAGGATGGCGTGATTACAAAAGAGAGATAGACGGACAGAGAGACGGACATCGCTAGATGGTCTTAGATTTTTATGCTGATCCAGAATATATATACTTTGTAGGGGGCGTTACAAATATTTCGAGGAGTTACAAACAGAATTACAAAGCTAATATACCCTCCATAAAATGGTGAAGGGTATAAAAAGGCCTAATACGAAATGTTGGAACGAATATATAATTTAAAACTGGACTTTTCCCTGGCGAAGTAGCTGACACTTTTTAGTTGTTAACAAAACATTAATAAAATACAATAATTGGGAGTCAAATCGTTACGTGAGTTGCATTTCCCCACTTATATCCTCAGCGCTTTCACACACACTTACTTCAAATTAAATCCCACACATCCGGAAATCGCCTATGTTCGTCTATGGCGGCCAAGGTCATAATTTATTAATTAGTTGAATTCAAATAGCAACCCATTTTACCTTTCTAATCAAATATTCTCTATCGATCTATGGTTGTTAAGACCTTGAAAATGGAAATTGGTGTCGTTCACAAAAAATTCACAGAACTACATATAGCCAGTCAAATTATCAATCAATTAAAATGGATTCAAACATTCATGTCACGTAGCATTACTTTCTACCTGGTCTGTGAGCCAAAAAGTCTGAAACGGCGTTCAAAGAAGAACGGAACATTGTGAGTATGGATGTGTGTACAATTGTGGATTGACAACAGGTCAATGACATAAGCGTGTGCTGGAATTGTTAATTGTGGGAAAATGTGCTTTAGTCAGTGCGAAGAGATCGTAACGCCTTTCTCCACTAAGGGTAAGTCGAAAATCGTTATTTAGTACATAGGATAAAATTGAAAGATCGGAAATCAACTTTGGCCTTTGACTACGTATCCCAGCCTTAAATCTTTATGTTTAACATATTCTAATCAAATGAAAGCAACTTACCCATTAAAATTGTTGTTGCAAATACAACACTGGATTTCCAATATTGCACCATGTTGTTGTTATTGCTGCTGCTGTTTTTGCTGATGTCCAAAAAGTTATAGATGGGCGGCTTATAAAACAGTTTCCTTGGATTTAATTTTCTTTATTTAGATTTTGAATGAAAACACGCAATTCGCAAACAATCCGTTTGTCTTGACTTCGACACGCGCAACACCAACCACTTCAATAGCGACAAATTTATTTTCAAACGCCCGAGACTAAAATGAAACGAAATAAAAAAGTAGGTAAAATTAGATACAAACATACACACAAACTTATGTATTTTAAAAGACATAAGACATTTTAAAGACCAAAAATATACAACATTTTATTATAGTTACAGTTTGATTACAAATCGGAATGTCGTTATGCCAAAAATCGCGAAAGCGAAATGTGCGACATACTGAGAGAAAATTACAACAACCGAATGGAAAAATCAAAACATAAACTAATCAAAATAAATTACACAATTGTGTTTTTATGATTGGATTGAATGGAAAAAAAAATTGAAAAAAGAGTCACTAGTAGATAATAGAAACGAAGCAGAAGAAACTTTCACAAAATGTCAAAGAAAGTCAGTGTGATAAAATTGAAGATGAGGTTTCTTTTAAATTACACTGTACGCCAATATTCAATTTTTTATACCCACAGCCATATGGCTGGAAAACGTGCCTTTGAAAACGTGCCTCATTGAAATAACGGTTTTAGACCCTAGGTCTTTTTGGACCAAATCCGTTTCAGGACATTTGGAGCCCATCTAGGGATGTCCGTCCGTCCGTCCGTCCGTCTGTCTGGCTGGCTAGTGCTCACGATAACTCTCAAAGAGAGTATCCGATTTGGTCCAAATTTGGTACATTGTAATATTATCATCAAACTTAGATCGAGTTCGGAGATAGGCAATATCGGTCCACTCCTTCTGAAAAAAAAAAATATTTTACAGCACAGAAAGTGAAAGGACATTCCGATTTTGCTCCAACCCTGCAAATCCTAATATTTGCATTAATGCTAGGTCAGGTACGAAAAAGGACAATATCGGTCCACTCCATTAAGTGTTTCCCCCACAAAGGATCAAAATTGGGAATGATTATAATTCTTATAAAATGTGATGTAAGAGTCCGATTGTCTTTAAATTACACATAAAAATATTATATATATATATATCTGGTGTGAAGATGGAACATATGGGTCCACTCCTTCTGGTACCTAACCCAACAAAAGGGTCAAAATTTTAAATATCCAGGAAACTCATAAAACGTGAAATCAACATCCGATTCCATTCAAACTTGGCACATCTGATTATATCTATCAAACCAAGATCTGTTATAAAAATGGTAGAGATCGAACCATTTCTTCAGGTACCTCCCACAACAAAGGGTCAAAGTTTTGAATAACCAAAACGATTATAAAATCCGAAATAAGCATCCGGCTGTCTTCATATTTCACACATCACTACATTTTTATTATCCCAAGGTCTGGTGTAAAGGGATACATCGGACCACTCCTTCTGGTACCTCCCCCACAAAGGGTCAACATTTTGAATATCCATGAAGCTCATAACATGCGAAATTAACATCCCATTCCATTGAGACTTGGCACATCACAATACTTCCATCAACACAAGATCTGTTATAAGGATGGGATACATCGGACCACCACTCCTTCTGGTACCTCCCCCACAAAGGGTCAAAGTTTTGAATAAACAAAACGATTATACAATCCGAAATAAGCATTTCGTACGATTATAGTATATATTTCCAAAACTACCTCCATATCTCCATTCCATATTCCAACAGACACCTTAATATCAAATTTCGGGATTCCAGCAGTATCTCTTAACCCAATACCAAATATAGTACCATTCAGTACTTTTTGTACAATTACAGTACGCATACCCAAAACCAGCTTCTTCTCTCAACCACAGAAACCAACAGTGACATCCATTTCAAAAGTCAGCTGTTTTCCTTCGCCCAATACTCAATTTGGCACCTCATAGAACTTTTTGGAAATCTGAACAATTATAGTACAGGTTTTCCAAAACCACCAATATTTCATCTATTCCAGATACCATACAAAGTCCTCAATATCAAATTTCAGGATTTCGGCCTTATTCCATCACCCAATATCCATTTTAGTACCAATTAGTACTTTTCGAATAATTATAGTATACATTTTCAAATCCATCTCCATAGCTTAACCACAGACACCAACAGTGACATCTATATCTATATTTCTTCACCCAATAGCCCAAATTTAGTACTTTTCATACAATTATAGTACACATTTCCAAGATCTACTCTACATTTCAATTCCATATACCAAGAGAGCCCTCAATATCAAATTTGAGTATTCCAGCCCTATCCCTTCACGCAATGCCAAATTTAGTACCACTTAGTACTTTTCGAACAATTATAGTATACATTTTCAAATCCATCTCCATATCTTAACCACAGACACCAACAGTTACATCTATACTAAACTCGAATTATGCATGTACGTCCGTCTGTCCGTCCGTCTGTCTGTCTGCCCGTGTATTTTTGTAAACAAAATGCAGGTCGCATTTATTATTCGATTGAAAGAAATGTTCTAAATAACATTTGTTTGGCTCAAGGACGAACCCTATTGAAATTGGTGAAAATCGGTCCAAATTTAAATATAGCTCCCATATATATCTTCATCCTATTTTAGGTTTCTTGTCCACCAAATGGCTAATATCAGTCCAAATGGTGTGAATTTTGATACATCCGACCGAATTCAGCCTACAAACATGTGCTTCAAATTTGGTGAAAATCAGTTCAGATATAGCTATAGCTCCCATATATATGTTACATCCGATTTTGGTGTTTAAGTCCCTCACATTCGTTATATGGACTCCACAATATTGATATTTAGCACCAGATATAAGATTCAGCCCAGCAATTCATGATTCAAATTTTATCAAGATCGGATCAGATTTGCATATAGCTTCCCTATATATCTTAGTCCGATTTTAGGTTTCTTGTGCACCAAATGGCTAATTTCAGCCCAAAGTGAGTGAAAAGTTGCACTTCCGAGCGAATTTATTGTAGAAGTTAACATTTAAAAATGGGTGGAAATCGGTCCAGATATAGCTGTAGCTCCATGTATATTTTCATCCGATTAAATCTTCAACTTTCGGAATATGCACTCTACCATTTTTTTACCAGATATCTCACAGAGCTCAGAAATACCCAATATAAACTTTTCTTTTACGAGAGTTCTACTAAATATACATAGTGGTGCAGGGTAACATATAGTCGGCCCGCCCGACTTTTGAGCTTTCCTTACTGGTTTTAATATGTATTTATGGTATTTAGATGAAGTGTTCTGGTGCCTATACTAGAATATATTGTCATGTTACAATTCTGTTTAAAATCAGTTTTTAGATTTTTTTTGGACATTAACAAATTACCATTTTTATACCCTCAGCCATATGGGTACAGAGGGTATGTATCATTTAATAATAATTACAACTCTCATAAAATGTGATGTTAGAGTCCGATTGTCTTCAAATTTCATATATCCCAATATCTATATTAACCCAAGGTCTGGTGTTAAGATGAAATATATCGGTCCACTCTTTCTGATACCCAAAAATGGTCAAAATTTTGAATATCCATGAAGCTCATAAAAAGCGCAATCAACATCCAATTCCATTCCAGACATGGTACATCTCAACATTTCCTTCAACACAAGATCTCTTATAAAGACGGTAGAGATCGGACATTTTCTTTTGCTAACTGCTCCACCAGGGTTCCAGGGTTCAAGATTTTGAAAAACAAAACGCTTAAAAAAAGTGAAATAAGCATCCAAAAATATTTATAATAATATTTATATCATATTTATTTAGGTCCGATATAAAATGGAATATATTAACCCATTTTTTCAAAACCGACTCCATAGAGGGTCAAGAGTTTAAAAATTCATAACAGAAGTCAAAATATTTTTAAATAATCGAACATTGGCTTAGGGTATACATCTGTCGGCAAAACCGACCGATACTTTTTACTTGTTACTATTACTATTATTATTGATATTGTTATTTTTATTTTTAATATCAATTTCGTATTTTTAGCTTCTTATTTCATAAAAAATGCATTGTATCAACAACCCGTTGGGGAATAAGATTGCTTGGACTACTTTCTTCAAACAACTTTAAAGATTTTTTTTTTTTGAGAAAAAACATTAAAAAAATAAATTGATAACATTACAGTCATTGCCCTTGCTTTCCCCGCAGCAACAAAAAAAAAACAACAGCAAAAAAAAACACTGACCATAATCCTCATCAATGTAATTACAAAATATAATTAAATCATTGTTGTTTGGCGAACGGAGCAAGAGAAAAAAAACTAAAACTATGTCTTGGTGAAATTGGTAACAGCGGTTCATTCGTTCGGTCATCGCCAATGGCAGTCGCAACAGTAGCAAAATAACATAATTTTCTATAAAAAGAAACGGCACACACACAAATGTAAGAAAAAATCAAATGTACATCATTTTGTGATACGCGGCATTTATATTATGTCAAATACAAACGGGTACTTTTATCATACATTAACTGACTGTTTTTCTTGCTACATCATCCAATTGCACCAATGTTTATGACCAGCAGCAGTATGGTCCAATGGGAGATTATAGTTTTTATGGCCAATTTGCCAAAAGTGGTTTGATAATATTTCAAAACTGCTTTCCACATTTCTTCAATTTTTAAAATGTCTACACGTTTTTTACCCCAAAGGATTTGGGTTTAAAAAATAAAAAAGACTCGCTTAGAAGTAAAAATGTCTAGAAGAAGGACTATTCCGAGGCAAATGAATATTTAGGCCAAAAATTTCCTCAAAAAATGTTCATTGCAATTGCAGAATGCAATAATAAATCTTAAAAATTTTAACAGTCTCTTAAAATCGCTGGTTTCGCTCCGAGGGTCCTTGAAGCAAATTTTGTGAAAATGGGCTGTTTTCTACACAATGACCTTGTGAAAATATTCTTTAAAAATTCAATGCTCTTTATAAATTTAACTTTCAGATTTATAAAAAAATGTTAAACCTTTGGGGCTTTTCAAAAATGTGTTCCCGACTAGTTATACCTGACCAGAAGGTCCTTTAAATCCACGACAGGAAGTCATTAAAATATATTCCTTACAAGTTAGAAAGCTTCAGTCTAAGATCCAACTGATATATCTATGTATAAAAGAATAGTGAAT